CATTTAATTCACCAATAATTTTGTAGCTTTAATACACACATATACACATGCAACTATATTTGTACAATGTATGCTTTTATAAAACAATATGATTTCTCATTTTAAAATAAAATCTTGACATTTTATAATAAAACTTTTATTAACAAAACAGTACATCTATTTAATAAATTTCATATTTATAATCAATATTAATTTCTCTTTCCCTTAATTTTATATGATTATCTCTTCCATTATTAATTTATTTTATTTTTATAATTTTTAAATTCTCATTTCTCTTGTGTAAAGTTTCATATAATGATATACGCGCCACAGCCGGAAATATAAAAATTCATCTTTAATCTAGTTTAGCGTCGCAGCCGTTTCTCCTCCCATCTATCTTGCCGAAACACATTGGAGCGAATTTTTCGCATCGATCCCGATCGCACCCTCGAGAATTAAATTCCCTTTTAACATCCGAGTAATTTCTTTTCATGGCAATCGCAAGGCATTTAATTGGCTCAACAGAGAGACAGGTGGCTGCATTAATTGCAGCGGATTGCTGGTCAGGTGGATGCCTAATCATGGGGGTTGTGCGGCAGTAGATCGGTCCGACGCGTCGGAAAAGGCGCCTCGCATTGAATGCTAAACAAAAGCTAATTTATATCCAGAGGTCGAGACTACGCTCGAGATCAGGAGATGAATGGCTGTTCTCCGTGCATACCAAGTGGCATGCCGGGCCCTTCAGGGCCGCGGAGTTAAAGATCTTGGGGGATGTTCCCCGTGGGGTAGTCGCTTGTATCTTCAAATATCACGTACGAAGCGGCGAACTGGGTTTTAGGAGCTCGTCAGAAGTCGCTCGATCGCCGCTTGATTTCTATTCAGACGGCACGTTTTACCGTGAATTCGGACGCCGTGAATGATTTTCACTCTGCAGCATTCAGCGACGGACGGATCCTTTGCAAATATTCCCTTTCAAAGTAAATTCTAAAAGATAATTTCTGATAAAGTTAAGATGCAGATTGCAAGCAATACATCTTTGACGGATAAAGACGAAGTTTCTTAATTTGAAAGCGCACGATATAATCATCCGTATCTTACGATTAATCTTGCGTGAAAACAAAAATTTAAGACAATGGCAAAATTGTAAATAATAATATTCGCGATTGCAATAAACGCAATTAATAACGTTGAACGTTATTATTCGTAACTCGTAACGAGTATTGTCGTGCGGAGCTAAAAAGCGAGAAGTAGATACTCCGGTCTCTATCGATTCGCGGAAGGAAAAAATTTCCGAGCACGTATCATCACAGTGACGAGCGGGATTCGCATCGCGAGCTTCCGAATCTAGGTGGTTTAATCTATCATTGCGACGGCGAGACGAGAAGCCGGGATAACTAGCACGGAATAATTAATAAATGCAGGGTGCATTAGTATGCGTTGCGGAGGATGAGTTCGTGCGGACCTGAAGTCGGGATGAGCGCGGGCCCGGGGCTTGAGACCCGGGAATTATAAAATAATAAAGAGAAAATTACGTAATGTGAGGATCAGATGAGAATTAGAGGACAATGAAGACGGGGTAAACCTCCCGTCGTCTAAAGGGGGTCGCGCTCGCCAGGGGTTGGCGCGGGGCGGAAAGCCGGAGGTCGAGGACCAGACGTCTTAATGTCTGCATCGTCGGGAGCTCGTCCCTCGCGCATGACTATCTCTACGACCCTTACATCTCTTTCCGATAAGAACCTTAAGTCCCGGGGATATAAATTCGACTCTTTCTGAACCTTTGATACCCCGAATTCCGACGTGCTAGTCTGGCACAATTCGATATATCTAATTATTTGCGAACGTCTGAAAAGTGGGATTCAAATTTTTATCGTCCAAGCTAATTCGTCAGTCGTATGTCACGTATACGTAGTTTGCGAGCTCACTTTCTTGTAAAAATAAGTGTCTACCTCTGGATGGCAAATGAAAAGGTTTGTTACAAAAATACCTCATCTGATATCTGATTAAAAATTGTGTGACTAGTTATAATTAAGTGACTGTGATATAGATTGTTTTAAATAAATCGATTAATTCTTCAAATATTTCTGTTCAGAAATTGTTCGCTATCTTGAAATATTCTTTTTGATAATATTCACTATTCTACATTTGCCTCGTTAAAGAAACATTATATATTCAAAACATGATGCATTCAATTATGTATTATTTTACCATTCGCGCGGAAACATTAAAAATCACCCTATCACCCGCGGTCTCTCGCTACCCTTTCATCATGAGAGCCGGTAAAATGTCGCGAGACTTATCGAAATGGAATACGATGTCGCCGCGGGTGCTAATCGAGGATTCTAATTAGTAGTCAGTCGGCGCAGACCCGACGCGACTTTGTAAATGGTAACAATGTTATGTAATTAGGTAAAAAGTTCTGTAATCAAGAAGTAGATCTTCCGAGCCGACCGCCATACCATCGCGTTCTCGTCTGATCCTCCCACCCTCATTCGTATTAAAATAGTCTCGCTAGGAAAGCGTGCGTTGTGCTCTGCATATCTTAAAACCCAAGGGCTGCTGCGGGGACGCTCTAAGAGCCACCCCCGTTCTGATTTTTGCCGCGATTCATATTACTACAGGCGTGGCTGAGATTATGAGAGTGGTGTGAGAGAATCAACGTTCTTCCGCCGGAAATTTTGGCTATATCGAGACGCGCGGAATACTCACTCGGTACAGTAAGCTTGAAATTTCGCGGGCCGATTATGCAAACTCGCGGAGGGCAAAATATCATAACGCGAAATTACTGAACTTTAATTGTTATCAAGAAATTATTATTATTAAGAGAATCATTGTAGCTCTGCAGTTTAGCCGACAGCGCTGTTTACCTTATTTGCAATATGATGATTATTGGTCGTCATCAAGTCCCATCATCTTTCGGCAATATTCAAATTAAATTGAATTTCTCGAAATCGTTTGTCCATTATTTTAAATAGTTCTTGTAGATCGCTATCGAACACAGTCGTGCAATCTAGAGTGCAGTCAAAAGTGGTAACACTTTACTGTCTCGTAGCGCAAAAGTTTTATGCAAGAATTTGATTTTAAGCGGATAAGATTGACATGCGCAAGCGAGAGAGGGGGGAGGGAGAGAGAGAGAGGTAAAAATGATACATATATCGCTTCGTATTGCTTCTTGAGATGCTGACAAATGCATACGTGGTTGCAACAAGCGAGCGTATTGTAGCGTTGTCACGTACAGAGACATATACGCGATAGCGCAATTTGTGTATACGACTACATACGCCCGGCGTAAAAGGAGCTGCGCCACAGTTAGCAAGCACACACACGTATATGCACGCATGAGATCATCGGTGGTCGCGTATATACGCTCGCGGAAACGCTGACGTCAGTGGTTTCGGTTGCTTTTGTTACTTCGCAAACGATCGCGCCCGATACGATGTGGTATCAGGAAGACGAGCATCGAATGCAACACACGTGCGTGTGTGACAGTTCGCGGGCGTTAATTTTCCTTAAGTAAACAGAGCGCACCATCCGTCAAATACAATTGTACCATTAATGCAAACCGCGCGTTATTTTTAGCTTTAGTAAGATTTTCCCACGTGTATTATCATCTAGGACGACAGTATCAGATCAATAAAATATTTTCCTGCTATCTACATATTTTTTACTCTACATTTTAAATTAATTTGTATTACACCGGACACTACTTCCTTTTTAAAACATTACGTTATATAAATTGGAAAAAAAAAAAAAAAAGACAACAATATACTTTTCAGATGTCGCGTGTTATCAAATGTAAGCTCGATGCGTACGTACTTAATTTTATTCATTCGGTGCATGCTATATAAATCTTTACCTAACAGCAGCAAGACATACGTCGCGCTGGATCGCATAAAAAAAATCAACATCGGAGGAAGCGTTATGCAATTCATAAAGATTGAAGTCGTAAAGATTGAAGATTCGCGCGTGATTGATAGGGTCGGAGAGTAGGCAAATTAGCGGACGTTAAAATTATTACCACGGCCTGCATATTATAATGCGAGTATTGGCACATCGTCAAGCCGTTCAGATTTCGAACGAAGATTACGCGAGATTGCGCGGACAATGTGACTCACGCACAATGATACGTGAAACTTCGTATACGCAAGAAATATTTGTCATGTCACGTACTCTTGCGAAACTTATACTCTCTAATAATAATCTAATCCTAACGTGAAAACGTTCTAAAATTTTATGCAACACATCTCAATAATAAAATTACATCTCATATCCAGAGAATTAGAATATCGGATATTCGAACGTAAAAAACTCCGTCCAGATTCGACGACACGTTAAGGTCGTTAAGGTCCTCGAAGGATAAGTAACAGGCACGCGGAGAGAGGACTCGACACGGTGGAATTAAATAAAAATAAAACGCGGGATAATAATGTTAGCGAAGGAACCGAGAACCCAAGACAAATAGCTGAGGGAAAACAAAGCGTATTATAAATACCGGGTGACAGGACGAGTGGTGCGGGAGAGTGAGCGCGAGCGTAAGAGGGTGGTCGGCTACGGTCGGACCGAAGGGTGGAGGTTCCCGAGGAGGAGTATGACGATATAGTAGCCGGTGACTCCTGAGAGAAAACGCTCGAGAAAGCAGCGACCCAGCAGCCAGCATTTTTGCTACCTGCCGACACAATGAGCCGCCGGATTTCTTTTCCACCCTTCCTTCCTCATCCTCGGCCCTCTTACCCGCCGGAATTATAAATTTGACGCATCTACCCTCGCGAGCTGAGAATTACGGTCGATAATCTCGAAATCGCATTATGAGCGAAATATGCAACCGATTAATATGAGAAAAATAAGATAATTGACGAAAAGTTCAGTTTGATACGAAAAAAATTTATATTTTGTCAATTAACAAATAAAGTAGGATATATTAAATTTATTGGTCTTAACAATTCCACAATCATATGTAATCGATGCAATTTGCGCAGTAAATTAGATGTACGGAGTAAAAAGTGAAGAAAAATAAAGAGACTCACACTAGGACGACTGTGGCCGCGCGGATTCAGCTGCCAGGGAACTGTCGATGGCTGAAAATGTTCCTTTCCCCACGAACCGTTGTCGAACGGGTTTTCACCAATGTGTCCCTATAAAACGCAAATCAATATCACAATTATTAAAATATGATAAAGCGCATTGTACGCATGCAACAAACCTAATAAACAGCAAGAAATAATAAACAGGAATTTTTGTACTCGTATGTTTATGTTTAATATAAATAAACTCGAGTATATATGTATATGTACATGTGAAAAATGATCACGTTGTGCTCAGCAAATTTTTCATACAGAATGTTACAGGCAGAAATATGAAGAATCACAATACGCGAATAAATAAATACGAAGAAATTCAATGAATAGTGTAATTGATCCGGATATCTTTTATCTGGATGTCTTTTTCTCCTTCCCTTTTGTTTTTCCTTTTTTTTTTTTTTTTTTTTTTTTCTTAAAAGTCTGATATATGAATTACATTAAAGTAAGAAAGCTGCAAATGAGAACAACAAAAATCGTTGACAAAACATGCTAATCAATTACATATATCCCATCTATCTACGTTCAATTGAAAAATCTTTCCTTCCCTTAATTCCGCAGTTTCTTCAAAAGATTTTCTGTTAGCAACGAACTGCAAAAATTGTTAACGAAATACGCGAGGTTATTTGCATGATTGCACGAATCCATGACCATTGGATTTTTATTCCCGTGCCTCGATAAACAAGAAAAGTTTAGCAGGGCAGGGCAGCTCGAGGGGGCATCGATCTTTCGAGGCTCCTCGGAGTTTCAAAGTTTTTTCGGCGCTTTTCCGCACGCCGCGCGTCTCGCCGCTCGCCGGCGAGCTTATTTTTGTAATATATTCCGCGAGCCGCGGCGTCCCCCTCTACACTTTCTCGACTTTGCACCCCGTAAGCCTTATTTTTCTTTTAACTTTATTTCTAACCTAGAATCTCTTCCGACGGCAAGGTGGCACGCACATAAATCACCGGGTATAATGAGAACACTTCGTCTTCGGGTGCTTCGCCCCCTCTCGGTCGCAGACGCATCTCCCCCCGCGGACCGGCTATCATATTATTCGTTGCTTCAACGAAATCGCGCGGTCGACCATCGCGCTTGTACTAATATTCATTTGCCTCGTGAAGTAACGTTGGCATCACGCCCGTTGCGAAAATGAGAGGAGAGCGTCGTCGATACACGGTTAGGCTATTGTTAATTAGCTCGGACATTTGTAAATTTCCAATTAGCTACCACATGACATTCTTATATTCTTGTCGTGTTAAAAAGTTAAGTTGTTGAATAATTATTACGACATATAAATGTCTTTAAGTTACACAATTTAAAATTTCGCTATATTAAAAGCAATATTTAAAATGATTTGTCTCTACTACAAGTTAACATTTTATTTCAGAATTATCTTTTATTTTAATATTATCGCTGTGTGTATATTCTGTCTAGAAATTGCGACTTCCGGATAATTGGCAGCACTCTGCCTTTCACTCTAGCCTGTTGTCCGGGAAATGAAGAGCGCTCGTCGATTTAAAAAAGACCTCAAAGATCCACAACGCAAGAACGCACGAGCGAACGTATAATTTAAATATGATATTTTACTAAACGTCACACAATGGAGTATTTTACATGTGCTATTGATACCGGTGATATTTTATGTTCCGTATTTCATGATGTAAAGTTTTATTTACATTGCCGTTATTTTAAATCGCGTTTTTCGCCGTAAAAAACGAGACATCGTGTGTTTAGTCAGATTTATTAAAATATATATGTGGCACGCTTTGGTGCAGTCATTTTCGACTCTTTTTGAGCGTGGACAGATTTTTAATATTGCTATAACTATGATTTTTCTTACACAATAATATATAATATTTATTGTAAATGTGTGTCAATAAAGTCAGAGCAACATTATCTTCTATTTAAAAGCATTATTATTTCAATGAATTATTTAGCACAAGAGCTTAGATGTGAATTATAAAGATCGACTGCATCTAAGTTCAAGAAATAGAATTGTAATGACGTAACCATAATAATTTACAGCAATCAGCGTGGAATATGACCGAGTTTCTAAATTATTTTGGCACGGTATAATTAGCCAAATTCCTATTCACACGTTACGCAAATCTTAAACGTTTGTCTCGTAATAGAAGGAAAAACAATGAGATATATTATTTTTTTCTTCGTACTTTTATATTTTTATAAATAAACATTCCAATAAAAATATAATTCCAAGTAATATCTAGAGTAATATATCCTATCCGTCAAGCTCATGTCGCGAAAACAGGACAGTGATTTGGAAATCTCTAAGAAAAGAAGGTAACTTGAAACGCGTTAAATAATGTGCAACGTTACAGAGACTTCGAAGTCGTAAATTTTGAAACAAACCGCAAGAACGCGTGATCGATTACTATGCGAAGTCGGCATCGACCCGAAGGGTGTAATTACAAGATGTAATTCCGTTTGTTTCCACGCGCGACGCGCATAGGGGCGGTGGTAGAGGTAATGTGTAACGATCGTCGCGCGCGATCGATGAAACTTGCTCGCTGTCTTTCTCCCTCTCTCGCTCTCGCACCTTCTCTCTTTTCCTCCTCCTTCGTGGTCCTCCTTTTTCCCACCCTTTCTCTAAAAAGAGAGCCTCGCGCGTATTCTCCGTGTGTGCACGAGGCAGAAATAAACACACAGTCGCGGTGGAAAATACTGAACCGGATAGCATATAGTATAAATACGTGGAGGCTATTGAGGCACATTGTATGCCGTGCATTTGCATGAGCCGGCCGCGTTCTCAGCGCGCAGCTGGACATACACGCGACAAAAGAAAACGCGCAAACAAAACACGCAACGCACCCCACCACCTTCCGCCCGCTTGTCGTCGCGCGCTCGTCGCGTCATCCCGCGCGCGCGCGCGCGCGCGCGGGGCGGCATCATAGAATGTTGTATGTTAAGTATTGTGCCACGTGGAAATAAACAAACGGATCTTTTACCGTCGCGCGACGAGAGCCCGAAGATCCGGACGTCCCTCTCTCGACGTGTTCATTGTCAAATCGCGTCACGTGCGCGCGCGCGCGACGACGCGCGGCAAGGCAGAACTGACGGTGATTTTAATTAACTCTTCTCTGTTACCGTCTCCAGGCGAGATCAGTCGCAGTTAATGCCTTTTATATTTATATATAATCGTTACCGTAAAATTGGATAATGCCAATATGGAGAATGCAGATTCATCTTCTTTGCGGGACAACAATCGCCCGCACACACGCGTACACACGCGCACGTCGTTAAAGTACATTTCTTACTCGAACTGTAGAAAATGAGCCTCGCGTCGATGATGTAAACGTAAACATATCGAAAAGCTAAAAATTAATTTATACACGCGATACGAGGAAGGAGTACGAAATTGAAGCGGAACTGTCATCTCGAATGAAGCTTCGATCGCGCGCATCGCAACAGAATTGACGTTTGATGTGATCGCTTCAATGCATCGGTCGATTTCATCATTTATAAGTATAAACTAAAGTAAACATCGACGCCTGTTCTCTCAAGGACTAGTCCCAACGTACACACATGTGCCGCACGTTTTCGAAATTTCGACACGCCTGATAACACACTATTCCGGTATTAAATATTCTGGGAAAATATCAAAGAAATTGTGTCGTCGTAAAAATTAATAAAATTACACACATACGTCAACGAAATATCCAAGTCAATTAAAATATAGCAAAGTTATAAACAATCGCAAGAAACGTAAGTAGATTATATATTTACACAGAAGTGGTCGTTTTAACTCTTATTAATAAATAATTTATCCGAAATACAACGGGACTATACTTTCACACCAATCTAATAACACTGCCGACATAAATCACGTGGTTACGATCGCAGCCGCGTGCCTCCTGGTATTCGTAGCTCCGCATTAAGCGGAGTACTAACCGCGACCTAATTCGCAGATAAGATAAGTCGTTAAGTGCACGGCGCGGCAACCCCTCGCGATACTACCCGGTGTTTTATTGCCGCGTCGGCCCACCCCCTCTCGGCCCTCCTTCGGGGCACGGTGAGATTTATTGTAAAATTCGATAGATATTGCCAATTACAACCCCCGCGGCGCTACCACCGGCGCGGCACGGCGCGGCTCGCGCTATCGACGGAGACGGGGGAGCAGGCACCTTCCGGTCGCGCCTCAAGAATTTTAAATGCGTTTTATATACAGAGAGAGAGAGAGAGAGAGAGAGAGAGAGAGAGAGAGAGAGATGACGCGGTATGCGTTGCATAAATCCGTCTCCCTGAAAATATGATTACGATCACTCTTCCCAGCGTCGCGCGAGAATGAGAGGAGCGGGACGATCAGCCCCGTCGTCCCCTCAGACACGGCACGGCGATAAAACGTTTCATTTCGTCCCGAGTGTCTCACGAGGAGGTCGAATAATCTCGTCAATTATTATTTTTACTACTGCCTTCTACATGCTAATTTTTCCGCGTGTACAGCGCGTCTCCAGGATCGTTGGCCGTGCGACGAGGCGTCTCGTCTGAAATGGCGCTCGCGAATGATGAATATGCAATCCGTTCGGCCGTCCCCCGAGATCGACACGGTATTCCAGTAATTACGCTATTCAAATTTACAATTTGATTATTTACCGTAGTATCGGATGGCTGTAAATGTAAATACATTTTTACCGCAAAACCGGTGCGGACAGTGCATCAATTCATACTTAAATAAGCATAAATGATGAGATCGCGGAGATATTTCAATTGTAATTTAATAATTAATATACAACAACGGGGGCAATATCGGCAGATTCATGCCAAATCCGGGTAATAGGACTAATTTATCACCTTAGTCAATGCTATCAATGGAAACCGTTTGTCACATCGTCTGAATGTTAACCTGCACTCATCAATATGTATATCATTAACTGCTAAATGCGCATTAACTTTATTTATGTGACTTTTTTAAACGCGCAGACTGTACGTCTTTAAAATTGCTCGTTTTATCCTAATGACATGAGCTTGTTGAAAAAGTACTTTCCATCGCGCATTATCTCGTAGCTCGATGTTCTTCGATCTTTGTTATATTTTTACCATTATCATTTTTGTTTTTC